AAAGAAGGCGCATAATTGTAAAAAACGGTTTATATATAAGTAATGCAATCATAATAAACAGTTACAAAGGATGGCGCTCGCGTATATGTCTCAAAAAAACCTCCCAGTTTCTCATAGGAGTCATCATAGTCGTATGAAACCAGTTTCGGTACAAAAAATTATCCAGGTAACTGTAAATCATGGGATTTCTCGATCCATTAACCGCTCTTATACGTCTTTTTAGACGACTCCTAAAACTGGTGACTCTAAAGAATAGCGGCCCAAACCGAAACGACCTTCGAACAAAAAAGTGACCTTGAGGAAGGAATCAGCTGACCGTATCATTTTCGGATGTAATCATGGATGTTTTCGATTACTTTTTGGATAACGGACTGATAGCTTTGTCGAAAATTTGCCAATGCGGAGGAGTTATGCATATAGAAAAATAGACAGAAGCCATTGATGGCTTTGTATACAGATGTATTGAGTGCCAAAGGAAGAAATCGGTTCGAGAAGGTTTGTCGTTGTTCTTTAGTTTACAGATCCCTTAGGAACTTTTCTCTCAAGGTCTAAACTACCTATGACGAAAATTTTAATGATCTGTAACTTCTGGGTCCTGAAAAGAGCAGTCACAGCTACAGCTTATGAAACAGAAAATTCAGAGGTGTCAGCAGTGCAATGGTACCATTGCACTGGTACAACTACTGCAGAGATGTTTCCTCCTGGAAAATGAACACCCTGACTCAAGTTCTCGGAGGAGTCGGCAGCATAGTCCATATCGATGAGACTGTACTTATAAAAAGGAAATACAACCGTGGGAGATTACAAGCAAACCAGTAGTGGATACTGGGTATCTACGACACGACACTGCGCAAAGGGTATATAGAAGCGATTCCCAGTCGCAGTGCAGCAGTATTAGTGCCTATTATTAAGCGTTCGGTGTTGCCGGGGACGACTATTCATACAGATGAATGGAGCGGATACCGTCAATTATCGAATCATGGGTACATTCATCATGTTGTTAATCATACGGACGGTTTCCGGAATCCTTTAGATGGAACCCACACCAGTTCCATTGAAAGTTTTAGGAGTCGTCTAAAAAGACGTATAAGAGCGGTTAATGGATCGAGAAATCCCATGATTTACAGTTACCTGGATAATTTTTTGTACCGAAACTGGTTTCATACGACTATGATGACTCCTATGAGAAACTGGGAGGTTTTTTTGAGACATATACGCGAGCGCCATCCTTTGTAACTGTTTATTATGATTGCATTACTTATATATAAACCGTTTTTTACAATTATGCGCCTTCTTTTTGAGCCTTCTCATTGGCCGAAGTTGTCCCTGTCAAGGTCATTTTTGCGTTAAAAGGTCGTTTCGGTTTGGGCCGCTATTCTTTAGAGTCACCTCTAAGGACTTCTCAGGAGTGTCAAGAATGCAAACAATGTCTTGAAGAGGTAATAACTCCACGCAACTTCATCATCGCTTGACCATTATTTTCAGAGATCCTTAAATAAGTATAATATACACAGTGATCTGGCTAATCATGATAAAAACGGCATGGTTGATGCAGCATATACATATACTTTTGTATATGTAGGTAAACCTAGATAAACTGTGTTCTTGTCACGAAGATCGGAAAGCAGATACCAGATGTCTCAGTAAGCAGTGTAATACATGTAAGTTACATGTTTTTATTTGACATAAACTGGATCTCCACTCACTTTCAGAATTAATCTTGAATTCAGTTGGGATAAACTGGTTGAGCGCATCAGTATTGAGAGAATACAGTGAAAGTAAGCAAACACATGATTCTTAAGATTAATTGATACATTTATTCGATATGATTGTATTATTATTAGTTGTCTATCTAATTAATGATGAATTCGTTGCGATAATAATATCTGTCATTGTTTTTATAGTCACTATGAACATGAACGTTATTATTATTGCTGCCAAGACCTATTATTTGTCATAAAGTTGTTGTCATTTTTGCTAAAATATTTGTACAAGCTTTGAAAACTACTGCATAACTTGTCGTTAAATAATTTTATCATTTCATGATGCTTCGATGGACCTACTAGATATCGACAAACGATAAGTTGCGAAGTCCCTTAAGTTTAGTGAAAGCTATTGGGCTACTTATATTTACATATATATATTGTTTGTAAAGTGATTACTTGTAAATGCTTATCAGGAAAATCTTCTTATTCAGATCATACATGTAATACCCAAGTTAATTATGCTTTTCTTAAACCTTTTCAGACTTATGGAAAACCATGTATGTACCGCGTACGCAGATGGAACTTACTGACGGTAACATAGGACTACTCATCTGAATTATATGTACATTTGAAATCTGATTTTTGTTTAATAAACAATTTTTCAGTGAATCTGTCTTCATTCTGTTGTAATGCAATTGTGTTCCAGTAACATAAGTAGCACGTGCTAAGTTAGAAATTGAGGGTAAACTGTTAGGAGTAAATGCGGCGTCTGGAAAACTTTTGTTTACGTGATTATATAAGCAGATTGCAACGCATCGTGTTCTTTGGCTGAGAACCCTAGGCATTCTGGTTTTAATTATTACGATAACCGTAGTTGTACTGAGTCATACATCTAACAGCATAGGTATAGTCTCTCCTTATGGTATATTGCGGCATGCAGAAATCACAAGCAAACTATCTCAGGTAGGTTTACTCTCACTTTGTGACTAGGAATCGCGAATCAGTATATGTACTCTGCTAAGACGATAGATAACTCGAAACGCTTTATAATCGCAATACCTCCTCTACGATTTAGACATATTTACTTTATTTTACTACAACATAATGTTTTACCAATAGACTTCTCCGAATATCTGCTCCTACTTAGTATTTCAAAGATAGCCTCATATACTCTATACCTAACAAATTACGCAAGGGCTAATATTCGGTCTTATCAAGTAGAATAAACAAACGAATAACGAGGAATACATTTATTAATGAGTTAACATGTAATACAAAATTGACAACAGTGCAGGCATCTTTTTCTTTATCACCCAAATCCATGAAATTCCCGAAAGTAGATATTATCTGAAAAAGAACATAAGAATTATATAGATGTAGACATTGTTATCAGTGTAAACACAATAATTAACCATGAAATATGCTTAAAATGACAAAATAATGATTTCAACTGTAAATAATTATGTTAGTCAACATTTTTCAATAATGCTAAGTTGATATTCCATCTGCCTGCTAACATCAACTTTATGCCATCAAATAAGGAAATACTGTGCATATATAATTTTTACGTATTTCTGCAGATTTTTATTAAGGAAATACATGTGGAGGAGCCTTGTCAGCATTTTACGCAAAGTACACAACAAAGTAACTGAAATAATTACCAAAACGAGCTGTCCCACCTCATCATGTCCATGTGTAATCCATTAAACTGCAAAATAAATTCACAAAAAGTCTTTATAACATATTTCTTCAAGTAATTAGACATTTTCTGAACGGAAAAATACGTTATTTTCAAGAAACTGTAAACTGTCTGTGACCTACGTCCGGATAAGAACACCACCATATGCTCTTTCTGCTGAATAGGCCGCATTTCATCCACTTTTAGCAGGAATATAGGTAGAAAAGTGTGAAAAACAACGAAAAATGGCCTGACCTTGACGTTTTTCCAATAAATAACGCCAATATCCATCAGCTGATCAAATGACCTACGTCCGTCTACAGGCTGCCTCAAAGTCGTAATTGGTAATATGAATCGCAGCCAAAATGGAAGCAGACAACAGAGGAAGAAAACTCACTATGGGTCGAGGGGCCATCGGAGAAATGAATGAGAACGCAGAACTTTTCGTAGAATTCTGCACCTTCAGTAATTTGGTGATTGGAGGCAGCATTACTAGCAGGAGGATATACACAAGGCAACATGAGTTTCACCTAACAGACAAACGGAAAAAGAGATGCAAGGTCAACTTTATGTGAGAAACAACCAATCAGCAGACCGTGTTTGTTTGCTTGAATAAGCTATAATAATGTAGATGAAAATAAATAAATACGTGCTGATTTCCTTAATAAACGATCTGTTGCCTGGCCCTTGTCTTCTGTTAGCTGATCAGTAGATATGGTGGGGGTCACTAAGGTGAATCGCCCCATTCTACAGGAACAGCAATATACAATTTGAAGGCTCGAGATTTTTCTGAGGGCTTAGATCTTTATCTTGAAAAAGATAATAATGAACGCCTAGACAGATCATGCTTCTGCCTTTAAATATATACCATTCACTCAGCCTATTGTTGAGATGCGACCACGTGGGCTCTGCACAGATTTATGGGGCATCTTATAAACTAACTTGCTGTCTATTGTCGGATCTTTAAATACCACTTCACAATGTCTCATCAGATTCATTTTCTAATAACGTCTTTACTCGATCCTCATTATATTCCATTAAACCTAACATTTTATAGGTCTTTATGAATTTGATTCGACTTATTCTATTCCTATTCTCTGTAGGGTACGGTTGTGCACCAAATGCACAAAAAGGTATAAAATAAAAAACGGCATGAGGAAAAATGTATTAAGACCAAAAGTGGACATCATGATAGTGCAAACTGTACAGGAAGCATTATACATTGCAAATGAACGTTGTCAGCCTAGGGAGTTTACTTTATTAATGCATTTATTAGTGATACTTGCACTTACCCATTTCATTACACTTTATTGATTCACCTTAGCACTTTTACTTTTCTAAAACAGCTTTCAATCCCTTGTAAACGTTGTACTCACCTCAATATTGGTTGGTTATCGTATGCCGACAACCACGGGATGAAAACGAAACGAAGTCGATTTTCCCGCTCAACCTGGAGGACAATTGTAAAATTCAATAACTATACAGCCTAGTTCAGACAATGAGTGTATTTATATACATATCAAATATTTAACTGTTGAAACATTATTAACTTGTAGACAATCTACGATTTGATATTATATCATACTTGATCGTGCCTGTAAAAATGGCATGCATTTTCATGTAAATTTATGTTTATATGAGAATACGCATTATTATTATTATTATTATTAACTTTTGTTACATCTAGTGTCGCTGCCCACCGACAAATGGAAAGCCCATGCCCTGAAGCTTTTGATGGAAACATATGGATTTTCGGGCAGGACTTCGAGGCTTCTTCGCAGCTGAGTGGCGTTCAAGATTTGTCGGCGATGAGGCTGGTACTTGGGACGCTGCTGGGAGGTCGGGAGAAAGCAGCATACGAAAGCTTAAGGCGAAATACTCCAACTGTATATAAAAATTTACGTGTATCTGCGGGAGCAGTTACATTGGGAGAACAGAAAGAAGGGGACACCTCCGGTTTTCTGGACATGTACCGAATAGCCTGCGTCTCAAGGAAACAAACTCTTATGATAGCGATATTACCAGACATCTCCTCGATACGGGTCATGAGGTGGAAGTCGCGAAACCCTTAAAATTGCCAATAGACAAATGAGCTCGATTCTCCTCAAGTTTTCCGAAGCAATTTTTATCAAACGCTTGAAACCTGGTTTGTATGTTCAGAAAGAAGCAGTTATTAGTCTTTCCTTGTCCTGGTAACTGGATGTCTTTATTCTCTCATTTGATTACGTAATCTTTGGCTTTAACCTCACTTCTTTGGTACAGTGTAATTTTGCTTGTCTCTTGTTTCTATGATTTGAGCTGAAATCAGCACATTGTTACCTAATTTATTAGTCACTCAGCATGTTACGCATCTCTCGTCTTTATTACGTAACTCCTCTACCATAGTATGCATACATTTATTTTGTTTAAACTTGAATTGCCTATGTAAAAACTATATAAGCGAAATTTTCTGAGCACTGTTCACTAATTGCGGAACCTTCTGTCAACTGACATCATGAAAAATTTGCAATTATGTTAAAACTTTTCTGTACATAAACTTTATAATTTTTGGGCTGTAGGCAGTTGATAAGAATCCGACGAAATAAATAATGGTACTATATTATTCTGCACAAAACACTATTTTTCTTGCTTTATTCAATACTGATATTGAAAATCAGTTTTTCTTGTGGGAACGCGTCAGTGGGATATAATGAATGGTGGATGGTCAGGAAATATAATAAATCAATGAGTAAATGAGTTTCCAGCAGTATTATTGGGATTTATATGCGTCAAAGTATGGAAAGGCAGCTAATTTATCTACATAGCTACGGTGAGTTGTGAAATATGTCATATAAGATCCCACCGCCTTACACTGAGTGCGATAGAATAAGGTGTTGTGCATTTTATTTTCATATTTGCTGTAGCTACAGGTGGGCTGTATTGGAAAGTGACAAAAGTTCCTCTTGTACCTGGGCAAAGATTTATGCAGTAGTTAGTTTGTTAGGCAGTCGTTATAACACATTTTATTAGCATAACATTAACGAGGTACGGGTAGTTTTTGCACAACCATAATGGTTAATCTTGTAGCTGCAAGAAATTAAACAAGAAAGATCAGAATCAGGTGGAAAAAAACTCGCCGATAACATAGCTTCCAAAATATCGCTTATTTCCTTAGCGTATATAATTTTTGAAGTTAGATAATTCCGTATTCTTATTAAATAAGAATCAACTTTTCGATTCTATTGATTTGAAGATGGCTTTTGTTAAAAATAAATAATCTCTGAAAGTCAGATACTACTTGTAATACATTCCCAGCCATTCCTCGGTTCTTCTTGACTAGACAAATGAATAAACTCATTAATTTCAGATTTTGTTAAGGACACTTTAACACTTGAGCTACCAAACGATTGAATCTTCATACTGCAAGTGTTTGAGATAAAACACGTCCTATGATATATTCGTCAACCCGTCATTTAAACAAGGCTTTTAATTTACAACTTCAGTTAACCATTTTTTTTCTGAACTGACTCTCAATATATGCTTAAGAAAGCTTTTTATGATGAGGATCTCCTCAAAGTCAAAATCTCTTAATTTGGACAAAGTTTATGTGGTACTCCTCAAATGATGCAGCTAAAGACTGTTAGGTTATATGATTTATACTCTAACACTAGAGTACCTGATTGGGTCTCACTAGTCTGTGATTTCTAACTTTTTCTTATTTACCACATATCATCACAGTTATTCACTGTCATCGACGGGTAACTATCTTCACACTTAACTGATTGGCTAGCACTAACCATACCTCTTTACTGATACTTCGTGAAGTCCATCTTGAAGCTAGTCACTACGGAGCAGCAGGAACATATTCAGATGTGTAGCGCAGTAACACTATTCCACGAGATGAAAGCAATGGGTTATTGAAATGAAAGCACAACATGATGATGATCCTGGACTACACATCTCCTGCAGTCTCCTAAATGCTATCTAGTAAACCAGAATGAAATAGTTGTTCAATACTTTATATTTTCTAATGGATCTTTAGGTGATGTGAATTTGTTATATATAATCTTCATTTATGTAATTGAATTCACCACAAATTCACCATCTTAAAGCTGACTTTTTCTGACTAGTCTTCCGTATTGATGTCTGTTTTCTGACTATTCATAATATATACAGATAGTTGATATGATTCAGTTAGATAAACTGGTTCCATTTTATAAAGGAAAATTCCTGTATGAAACTGATTTTAAGTTACTCATAGCTTACCTGTCTTCACTACACACTATGGACAGTATTCATCTAGATAGTATATTTAGATATACCGCGATAAATATTACACATAATGAAATTATGTGGGATACATAAAATGGTAAACGGATGCATCTCTGTGATTACAACAGCTTATTGTCATTCAGACTGGTAAATTTGATCAACACACATGATGATGATGACACTAAACGACACTGATGTTACAAATAATCAAAGTCACGGGTGTATAAGATACAATTAAAATGATGTTTATGTTAATGTCTGTTTATTGTCCACCAACCAGCATGATCAGTAAACAATCTGGATATTTTCAAAACAAAATAGGTAGGGGATTATATTCAACTGCAAAAATTCTTACACGAACATGACTATTTGTTTTGTTGCATAACTGAAGTTTCACTGATTCATTCCAGGCAGAGTAATATCAGTAGTTCAACTTGTTTTTGTCTCTCTTTTATAAATATTATCTAAAAAATGAATTTATGAGACTTCTACTTTTTATGCTCTCTTAACTATGCACATAAAGATTATTTATTCATGTTCTTCAAAGGACCATGTGGCCTAAATGACTGCATGCATGTGCACAGAAAAATTCAAGCTGTTTACCATATAATCCGATGTAAAGAAGTTGGCAGTGTATCTATTTCAAAATGGAGTTATTTTAGCAGTTTAATACTGTTTTTACTATGATGAAAACATAAGTGTATTCTACTCTCAACATCACAGCGTTAACATGTTTTCAATGAGATATTAAAGTGAATTTAATTTTATTTGTCACTAGATAGGGAACCATGGGAAACAAAAATGACAAAACAGTCACTTTGTTAGTGGATAATCTCACTTCGGATTGAGCCAAGAGTTGTTACATCTTTTATAGTCTGTTTATTTTAATCAAATTCGCTATTTGCGATTTACTCACTTCGAGGTGGAATTTCAGCGCAGTTTCGTTTGGAAACCAGAATTATTTAGATCACGGTGTGTGATCTGCTTGTTACCACAAATGGCAATGAGTAATTAATTTGTAAATTGTGATTTTATTTCAGTGTGTTTCTAGTTCACTCAGAATTCAGGTGTTTGAACTGATTCGGCTGTCTACGCTGAGTCAAACCGCGTACACCACTGATGAGCGAAATGGCCGTTTAGCATTTAGATCATCTCAATATGGCCAGCAAGCACTACTGGTTAATTGGTGGTTCTCAGCTACTTATATGGATCAGTCAGTAGCATATACTATCGTGCATAGTCTGTTGTAATGAGCCAGATATAAGTCAGCGACTTATAATTTCCATTTTTCCTTGGCTTTAATAACTCAATTATATCGCCTGGTGATTTTAACTACTATAAAACCTCCTATTTGATTGCAGACATCCCAGTTTAATAAGGTCTCAGTCCGCATTGGGCATGAGTTTCAGAAAGTTCTATGCAAACAACATGAATGATAGGGTCGACCGAATCAGAATAGCTACTCGTTTATGATACTAACATTTTAATATCAATAGGTAGAAGCTGGGAATCATGATACATTAAATTCAGACTTAGTGACTATATAGTAATGTACTGGTCAATTGGTCTGTACGTCGATGGCACAGTGGTTAGGAGTCTTGCCGACCATGCACATGGTCCGAGGTTTGATCCCTTGCCGACGCACACATGATACCTATGGTCGGCCTACAAAATTTGGGCTACCAATATCCATGCTGAAAATTCCATACTTGTACCAAAAATACAGTGTAGAATCAACTGAAATCAAAAATGTACTACTGGTTGATATGAGTAGCATTCAACTACTCACATCAGTCAAAAGTAGTATGTAGTAATATGATATCACGCGTTTATGCTTGCTCTCTGGATTGCTATTTACGATCTCAAGTAAATCACACACTGTGTGTGATCTGAATAACTTCAGTTTCCAAAATAAACTATAGTGCAGTATCACTTGGAACTGTTTAAATTGGGAATAAATATGCAAAATTGATAATTTCATTCAATTATTATTATTCCCTTGGGTTCCTAGTGGAACATAAGGCTTCAACTGCACGTCTCCACTTGCTTCTGTCTTCTGTTGTACTTTTCACCTGTATCCATGTTATAAGAATAAAACTTGTGCACTGTGGTAGAGTGTAATTCCATTATGGGTAAATTTTGTTTTCATAAAGTCTCACAGTGTTATACAGCAAACATTACTGTATAACACTGTGAGACTTTATCAAAACAAAATTTACCCATAATGGAATGTATCCATGTTAGTCCATAGTGTTTCAACTCCTCTTCACACGATCTCCTCCATGTCACCCTCGCACTGACGTCCCACTCGCTGCTTCCCTTTCGGGTTCCACTCGAGGGCCTGATGCGAGATGTCACCCAACGGTCTCCTCAACGAGTGTCCAATCCATCCCAATCCACTATCTCCTGCATATTTGTTGGGCGATTGGTTCTTGCTTTGTTTGTTCCCAGCCATAGTTTCTTGTTGGTGATTCTGTTCGGCCCGGCCATCTGATCTTCAGTATAGAGCCAGTGAAGACAGTTGTTGATAAAGGTCTGGAACAGGCTGATGGAAATATTCCTTGTGACCCGCCCGCCAAGTTTCTGATCCGTATAGAAGAACTGACTGACTTGACGTTTGTATTGAAAATCCGAATTTCGTTGCTGATACTGAGTGACGAAGATTTCCAGATTGATTTCAGGTTGATGAATGTGTTTCTCGCCTTCCCGATTCGATTCTCGATTTGACATCCTCTTCCGTTCCAACTGCTTGTAGTTGAGACAATGCTCCCTAGATAAGTGAATGAAGTAATCTCTTTCAAATCCCTCCCGTTGATGGTGATTGGCACTGGATGTTGCTGCTGTTGTTGTTGTTGGTTGGTTGGTTATTTTTATAACCTCCGTCTTGTCTATGTTCACCTGGAGTCCTGTCTTTGGTGCTTCTTCGACCAGTTTGTCGGTTTTCGCTTGTAAGTCCTCGATTTTGTGTGACATCAAACATAAATCATCCACGCGCGAAATCCAGGTCTTCTAGGTTCTTCACGTGGGTCCAGGATATCCCTGTCTTCTCGTTTCCCACTGTCTGACGCCTAATCCAGTCCACCACAATTAGGAATATCACTGGTGATAATAAGCAC